TGGAAGGAGAGGTGGCTAACTAAAAGAGGAAGGGAAGGGGAACATCAGGAGAGGGAGGGGAATAAAAGGGTAGTGGGGGTGAGTATGAGCTAAATGCATTATATACATGTGTGAAATGCCATAATGGAACTCATTATTATGTACTATTAATATGTACTAGTAAAGAACATTTTCAAAAGAAGCCAAAGATCTAAGAATATAGCTTAGTGGTTCAGTGCTTGAGTAGCATGCACAAGGCTCTGAGTTCAATCGCTAGTATTGAGAAAGAAAACACTGGGGCTGGGGATGTTGCTGTGCAAGGCCCTGGGTTTAGGAGAGAGAAAGAAAGAGAGAGACAGAGAGACAGACAGAGAGAGACAGAAACAGTGACAGAGAGAAAGACAAAGACAGAGAGAGACACAGAGACACAGAACTAGCTATGGTTCTAGAAGGCAAGATTCAGATGTCGCCAGGCCCACATCCTACAGAGGCTAGAGAAAGGCAGTATAAACACATGGAAATATCCAGTTAAGAAAGGCAGGATCAACTGCTTTATGACAGCATCTGCTTGATGCTGATCATGCAGATGTGTAAAAGACTGTGAGACAAGGGAAGATTTTATCTGAGACATCTCCACCTTGAAAGCTGGCAGTCAACCCAAGTTGACACCTCCTCCCTTCTTGCCGAATGTATTATACTTGGCTGCTCCCTCTGAATAAATTAGAAATTCATCTCATCGACACATACTAGAGCATAAGTGTATTGTCAGGCAAGACAGAAATAAAATATTACCTTTGTTTTTTTCTTTCCATTCTTTGAGACAGGGTTTCATGTAGCTCAGGATGACCTCAACTCTCCGTGTAGTTAGGGATGATCTTCAAGTCTTGACATTCCTGGTTCTACCTCCCAAGTGCTGACATTGCAAGTGCCCAGCAAATGCTACCTTTATAAGGTGAATGTATGATCAGGTCGCACGAAACTTCCCATGCAAGAGTAAATTGAGGAGAAGCTGCATGATTTAATATTACTAAATAATTAACGGATTAAAATATATCTTTATTGTGGCACAGGCCTGTAGGAGCTGATACAGAGGCCCCACTTGACTATAAGAGTTTGAAAACAGCATGGGCAACATAGCAAGAGCCTGTATCAGAAAAAAAAAAAGAATAAATAAAATATAACCTTGCATGAGTAATTAATTAGATACTAATAGAAAAGTTTCCTTACTATTTTCCCAGACTAGGGCTGGCGATGCAGTTCAGTTGGTGGAGCACTTACATAGCACACATAAGGCTCTGGGTTTGCACTGCACACCTGGCTGATGCATGCTTATAATTCCAGTATATCGTTGTACTCTTAGCGCTGCTTGGGAGGTGGAAGAAAGAGGATCAGAAGTTCAAGGTCATCCTTGGCTGCACAGTGAGTTTGTGGCCAACCTGGTGTACTTGAAACTGTATCTCAAAACAACAACAAATGTATATGCATACATAATACACACTTGCTTATAAATGTGCACACACATACATACTGGTGTATGAAGAGACGCACCCCAGAGGTTAGGAGCACTTGCTGCTCTTGTAGAGGACACAAGGTGGCCCCCAGCATCCATACAGTGGCTCACAACCATCGGCAACTCCAGCACCGGAGCATCCAGTGTCCTCTCCTGGCATCTGTGGTCACCTGCATGCATGTGGTATACATAAACTCATGCAAATACTCATACAATGCAATATAAATAAGTTCATTTTAAAGTGAAAATGAAGCTGGGAGTAATGGCTCACACTTATAATTCTGAGAATGTGGGGCAGAAGGATTGGGAATTCCAGGCCAGCCTGGGCTACAGAACGAAGCCCTGGATAAAAGAGTCAAATAAATAAATAATGAATCAATATACAGAAGCTGTAGTTGCTACTTAAAATAAAATTTAAACTTTGATTATATACCAATATATAATGAAAAGGAAAATCACGACATACACTATAAAACATAAACGAGTTTTATTTATGAATGTATTGATATATAGCAAATAGAAAAAAATGACATTGAAAGAGTATATGCCATAGTCAGGAAGAGCATATTACAAAAATTTAAGGAGTTTTAATATTATAAAAATGTTCAATGCAATCAAACATGCAAGGTGATTAAAATACTATTACATTAAGAGATTGATTCATTTTATCAAGCTTTCAGCTTCCAATGAACAAGAATAGAGTATTTCTCTTATTTCAATGAAGAAAAGTCATTAAAAACTAACAATAACTCTACATTTAATGAAGAAATATCAAAAATATTTTTATTTATATTTAACATAAAATGCCAGAGCTACTTAACAAATGGTGTTGTAGCTATGATTTTATATTCAGAAAAACAAACAGGCTATCCACGACTATTAAAACTAACAGTTTACTCACAGATAAATATCTTAAAAGCCAACAGTGTTTCAGAGATCCTGAATGTGTTTGTAGCAATACAAACACAAAATAATCAAGAAAGAATTAGCATAAAGATTTATAAAAAGCATACCAAGGAGAGTCAGGACACACTGATGGTGGAGACACAATCCTAATCCTAATGAGAAACTCCACTTCAGAAACACGAGTTGACTCTAGACTAGATGATTCAGTTGTTTGCCTTATACAGCATCCTCATTAGAAAAACAAACAAGGGGCTGGAGAGATGGCTCAGAGGTTAAGAGCACTGTCTGCTCTTCCAGAGGTCCTGAGTTCAATTCTCAGCAACCACAAGGTGGCTCACAACCATCTGTAATGAGATTTGGTGTCCTCTTCTGGCTTGCAGGTGTTACATGCAGAAAGAACATTGTATACATAGTAAATAAATAAATCTTTAAAAAAAAAAAAAAAAAGAAAGAAAAAGAAAAACAAACA